CCCGTGTCCGCTGCATCGGCAGGCGGACTCCCAACCACTGCGCCACCAGGGAAGCCCCCCGACATATTTTTTATATGTAAAGATAAAGGGTGGCATAGAGATAAACAGGCAGTGTACATAGAGTGAAATACCAATGTTCAATTCAATAGTAAAGAAACAAAAATAATAGCAATAAGATTTTTTTCTTATCATATTAGAAAATATTAAAAAGAATAATGCTGTCCGGTGCTGATGAAGTAGAAGGAAATGCTATTGATTGGAATATAAATTGATGGATTCTTTTTGGAGATGAATTTATCAATATCTATTAAATTTTAATTGCACATTTCCTTTGATCCTGCACATGATAATATATCTTAAGGAGCTAATAGGACAAGTTTGCAAACATAAATATATGGGGATATTTTTAAAGCATTGTTTATAATGGCATAAGATTGGAAACAATCTAAATGTCTTTCAGTAGGAGATTGGTTCAATTAATTATGGTACATTTCCTACAATGACTATGCAGTCATCAGAAGAGACTAGGTTGATCTTTATTAATTGACATCGAAAGATAATGAAAAAGTTCGCAGAAGAGTGCATAGAGTACACACAGATCCCATTTATGTGGAAGAAAAAATATATATGTTTAACACATACATTTAAAAATATGGAAAGAGGACTTCCCTGGCGGTCCGGTGGTTAAGACTCCACCCTTCCAATGCAGGGGGCGCAGGTTCAATCCCTGGTCAGGGAACTAAGATCCCAAATGTTGCACAGCACGGCCAAAAAAATAAAAAAAAATTATACATATATATATATGGAAAGAGATTCAACAATATGTTGAAGATAGCTTTTTCTATGGAGTAAAATTACTGGGAACCTTTAATTTTCTTCATGTCATCTTTTAAAAAAAATAATCAAAATAACTTTTTGTTGTTGTTGTTGTTTTTCGTTTTTTTTTTTTTTTTTGCGGTACGCGGGCCTCTCACTGTTGTGGCCTCTCCCGTTGCGGAGCACAGGCTCCGGATGCGCAGGCTCAGCGGCCATGGCTCACGGGCCCAGCCACTCCGCGGCATGTGGGATCTTCCCGGACCGGGGCACGAACCCGTGTTCCCTGTATTGACAGGCGGACTCTCAACCACTGCGCCACCACGGAAGACCCCAAAATAACTTTTTAAGAAATAATAATGTAGCATCAGAAAAAATATTTTTCTATATATAAATGTATATTTAAAATATATGAAATAACTTCATATTATAAAACATATATAATTATATATATATAATATATATATATCTTCATTGTAGGGGAAGAAAAAATTGTACTTTATGCTATGCACTCTTTGTTTTTTTTGTAAATATTTATGGAGTGTTGCTGTGTACCAGCTATTGCTCAAAGCAGTTTACTCATATTAAACACATTTAATCCTCTCCAGCAACCTATGATGATGTAGGTATTATTAGCATAATCCCCATTTTATAGATGAACAACAGAGAGGTTAAGTGACTTGCCCAAGGTCACACAACTAGTGAATAACACAGCTAGGGCTTGAACCCAGGCTCCAGAACCCATGCTTTTGGTTTTACTTTTGGTTCTCTACTGGATTATGAGGTAGGCATTATGATCCCCTCAGAGAACATGAAATGGAGATTCAGAGAGGTGAAATTACTTGTCCAAGTTTCCACAGCTTGTGAAGGATGCAGCTGGTACCCAAGCCCAGATGTGTGGGTCACAAACCCAGACTACAGGCTGCCTCCCAGATCTGAGGCTGCTCCTGTGGAGAAAGGGGAGGATGGAGGAATCTGTGGCTGTCAGTGTACGGGCAGGGGCTTTTCCAGTCCCTGAGTGCCCCCTACTGGCAGTAGATCAAAAAGCAGGGACCTGCGCAGATGTACTAGAGGACGCTGGGAGGGGGAAGGATAAGCTGTGACAAAGTGAGAGAGTGGCATGGACATATATACACTACCAAATGTAAAACAGATAGCTAGTGGGAAGCAGCCGCATAGCACAGGGAGATCAGCTCCGTGCTTTGTGACCACCCAGCGGGGTGGAATGGGGAGGGTGGGAGGGAGGGAGACGCAAGAGGGAAGAGATATGGGGATATATGTATATGTATAACTGATTCACTTTGTTATAAAGCAGAAACTAACACACCATTGTAAAGCAATTATAGTCCAATAAAGATGTTTAAAATAAATACATAAATAAAAATTTAAAAATAAATAAATAAATATGTGCAACTAAAAAAAAAAAAAAAAAAAAGCAGGGTCCTGGGTCCAGCTGGAATAGGAGGGATGAGCTCTGGGCCTAAGGGCATGGATACAAGGCTGAGCCCCTTCTCACCCCCTCCAGTTCTCCGTGGACATTGACTCTGAGCTGGTGGAGGAGCTGCCGGCCGAGATCGAGCTGTGGCTGGTGCTTGTGGCTGTGAGTGCCGGGCTGCTGCTGCTGGGGTTGATCATCCTCTTGCTGTGGAAGGTTAGGACACCCAGCCTGCCACTGGGACGCCCACTCTGGGACCTCCTGCCAGCAGACCCTCACCAACTCTCCCTTCATCTCAGTCCTCACTTCCATCTCACCCCCCGTCTCCCAAGTCCCCCCTACCTCTTCGCAGCTCCCAGTCGCACTCCCTGCCCCATCCTCATCTCACCCAGGATGCTCCTGCCTGGGTTAATGGGGGGACCTGCAAGCCAGAAAGGGGAACCAGGAGCTCTGGCTCCTGCTACATCACCAAGCTGGGGCTGGGACCCAGGCATCCGGGCCCCCGTTCATGAGTGCTGCTGGCAAGGACCCCCCAACCCCCCCTGATGGCCCCTCCCCACCTCCTCCCCTCCGCAGTGCGGCTTCTTCAAGCGAGCCCGCACTCGGGCCCTGTATGAAGCTAAGAGGCAGAAGGCGGAGATGAAGAGCCAGCCATCAGAGACAGAGAGGCTGACGGACGACTACTGAGGGGGGCAGCCCCCCACCCCTGGTCCACTGGGTAACGCGGCCTCCGGGCCCCTTCCCCCAAGCCCCCAGCTGGCTGGGGCCTCTGACTCTGTTCTGTCTGCTCCTCTTCCTTTATGGGCCCTCTCTGCACGTCACTCTGTGCCCAGCACCACCACAAAGAACAGGCCACTCTGTCGGCCTCCTCCTCCGCACCCTGGGAGAGCTCGGGGTGTCTGCTCTCACCAGCCTCCCCACTGAGCCCCTCAAGGACTTGGGACCCCCAGAGGGAACCATAAAACCCTCCCTGTGCCCCCTCTGCTTTCTGAGGATCGGAAAAGGGTCAAGGCCAAGGCCAGGCCCCATCTTTGTAGGCCACAAGACAAACTTCAGAGTGATTCCACACCCCCATCCCCACCTCTAGAGAAGGAGGGCACTAGTAGAGTCCTTCTTCTGGGAACCAGCCCTCTTCCTCTTGGGAGTCCCCTGGGGTGACAAACTGACCTCTCCCGACACTGTGGTCAGGGTAGATCACCACCTCTCCCAGCCATTCCGTCAGCAGTCTCAGCGACTGCCCCTCTGTCTCCATCTGCCTCTCCCTCTCCTCTCTGCCTTCCTCAACTCCTCCTTCCTCTGGGGCCTGGGATGGGGAACCTTGTCCTCCCCGTCTCAGTGCAGGGAGATGGCATTGTGTTTGGGTAGGGGTCCTGGCTTTGAGGACCTCCGGGTGGGGAAGGAAGGGGCTGGGCACATCTTCCCACTGGCGCAAAAGCTGGATGCTAAGGGCCTTTCTCTTCTCCCCTTCTCCAGTGTGACTTCTTTAAGCGGACCCGCTATTACCGGATCATGCCCAAGTACCACGGGGTGCGGATCCGGGAGGAGGAGCGCTACCCACCTCCAGGGAGAACCCTGCCCACCAAGAAGCACTGGGTGACCAGCTGGCAGACTCGCGACCGATACTACTGACATCCTCCCTGATCCCACCCCTGCTCCCCTAGTGTCCCCTTCTTCTATTTATCATAAGTTATGCCCTGACGGTCCACAGGGGCTACTGCCTTTGGCTGGCACCAGCAGGCTCGGGCACACACACCTCTTCAAGTGTATGCACGTGCCCTCCAGCCATGGCCTTCTCCCCGAAGGAGGGCTGGGGCCGTGGAACTTGCACTGCTGAGCACTGCAGCCCTGTGCCCTGGACACATATGAGCACATATGGGTCCTACTGCTTGAGGACTGTGCTTGTGCACCCCAGATGGTGCATGGACATGCGTGTGCCAGCCTCTGCCTGTGCCGTAACCAAGCCCAAGGGCCTCCACCAGAGCCAGGAGGAAGAGGCCCCCAATGTGGTGACACCTCCTCTGTCACACTGGAGCCATCGTGAGCCATAGTCACTGGACTGACTGTCCTCAAGATGAAAACTACTGACAGGCCCCCGGTGCAGCTCCCAATACCCATGCCAGAGAGTCGGAGCCTGCCTAAGGTTGTCCAAGGGGGTGTTCACAGGACCTGGCATGCTCAGACCCAAGAGCAGAAGGAACTAGAAGGAAGGTCCCCAGGATGGCTTTCTTTCATGAATCGTTGCGAAACCTCTGTCCTCAGCCATGACCATTCCATGCACTAGCAGGAAATTCAGCCCTAAGAAACAAAGATGGACACAGTGCTAGGCAGCCAGGACACACTGTGCTGGGACTGCCCTGGGAGCACAATGGAATCCTCAACAGAAGAGGGGACTGGTCCTGGGCCAAGGAGATGTTGGAAGGATACAGAGCAGATACCACTTTTCAGCCACATTACCATCCTGGCCTGGAGGGACCCCCACAAGGTCACAGAGGGAGCGACGCTTGAATGTAGAACAGGGAGGGAGCCCCATGACGCCACATAAGCCAGACCCCGCCCCGCCCCCCCCCCGACCATGGGCTGGAGACCTAGAAGTGAAGGTCTTGGCTGTCCTTGGCTTTCAGAGCCAGGTTAGCTCTGCCTTCTCCCCTGTGGCCCATTCTAGAAGTTGAGGCTGGTTCCAGAAAACCTCTCCTGACCCCTGCCTATTGGCAGGCCCCCTCCCCAACCCCTGCCCACTTCCATGGTACTGTAGCAGGGGAGCTCCCTCCCCCTCCTCGTGCCTTCTTTGTATATAGGCTTCTCACGGCAGCCAGTAAAGAGCTCCCAGTTTGTACACGCTGCATCTGCCTCCATCCACCCCCACGCCTCACCAACGCCATTCGGTCTGACGGATCATGCTACCTAGCTGACCCCCAGGTGGACAAAGCCAGGTGCAGGGCTCATAGAGGTTGGGAGGGTGAAGCTCTATGGCGGAGATACCTGCTCCTGTTCTCAGGGGTGTCCCAGTCTAAGGGATGCTCATGGTCACGTAACTGACATCCAGAACACAAGATGAACGAAAAGACCTGAGTAGACTGGATGGAACCCAAAATGGCTTCATGGTGGAGAGTGCGCCAGGCCTGGGGAAGAGGCGGTGGAGTGCAGGGTCTGGAAGAAGCAGGAAGCTACTGTGCTGTAGAAGCAGGTAGCCCCGGGGAATGGTGGAGTGAGGCTGGGTGCACAGGTGGAGAGCCGAGAGCCCTCGTCTGGCGGCTAAATTCAGACAAGAACCTGCTTTACTGCCTCAGTTCCCCCACAACCAGCCCTAGGCCCCATGATGAGTCGAGCAAAAGGTGGACCACTGAACCAAGCCCGGAAAAACTGAAAGGTCATAGTATCCATGTCCTAGCCTCTGGGCAGGGGTACCTGGAGCCCTAGCCTGCGGCAGCTCCTCCAGACGTGCTGCTGTCCTGAGTCCACAGCCACAGTCCACAGCTCTCCGCTGCGCTAAGGTTGTCCTAAATCATGGCACAAGTCCTTCTGTTAATTGTCCCTAAGGCGGTGACCTTTGGCAAGAAAGAAGGCCGGAAATTACCACCCAGAGAAGCCTAGGGGCAGCTCTTCAATTCAGCTACTCAGAGCCCTCAGACCCAGCTGCTGTCTCGGGCTCCTCCTGACGTGTCTGCCTTCCTGTGCCAGCTGTCTGCCCTCCCCACCCTCTACTAGAGCCCACCCCCTCACTTTCTGTGCTGGGATTTGTCACTGATTGACAGTGAAATGTCCAGTTCCTCCAGGAGAACCCCAGCCCCTACCCAGAGCTCTCAGAACCAGTAACCGGAGACCTCAGTTTGTTTTCCAGAATCTGGGTTATTCACTGGGCCAGGAATAATACACGTGTGGGCTGCCAAAGCCCAGCTCAGGTTGAGCAGAGTTCCGTGCAGTTCGGTCCAGTCCTTTGCAACCACTTCCTGCTGAAGAAAGAAGTGGGATCTCCACATCCCTCTGGCCAGCTTCACAGGCCCAGCCCCCCACCTCCTGTGAGCACCTGTTTGGATAAGAACACACCGTCTGTCTCACACACACAGTTGTGAGAATAAGTAGTCATTTTTCAGGACTGGTGCAGCTACCCTTTCATGAAAGAAACATACTGGCAGAGATGCAGCAATGTCCACTTTATAGAAAAGGACCCTTTCTAATGCCAAGCTTCTTGAGCTCCTTGGAGCTGCAGCACCTCCGAACAGTTTCAGAAGAGGGTCTTGGCTTTTATATCACTAAAAGAATCCATAAAGTAATTCTCTTCTCTGGTCACAGGGCTGGATTGCATTTCCTGGGCCCTCCTGGTTGGATGAGGCCACGTGAGGCCATTCCGGCCGACGAGTTGTCAGCCAGAGGGAAGGGGATCAATTCTGGGCTGAGACAGTTAATTGCTGGGGGAGACTCTCCCAGTTCTGCTTCTCCTAACTCTGCTGCTGTGGAAGCCTGTGTTGAGATAAAGCTTTGTCAGTCCTTGACAGCCCCCCACCAACCCACGTTGTACATTTAGTGGGAAATTTGGGAATTTGGGGGGTTTTTGTTACCTCCCATCACCTAACCTAGCTTGACTGATACACCACACCACACCACTCCCATTACCACCCTTCAGCCATCTCTGCAGGAGGAATTTAATCCAAGCTCAGAGCCCCATTACGGAAGTCCAGCTCTAAGGGGACGATCATGGGAAATCTCTTTCTGTCGCTTACATGTAGCCTCAGAGGTCATGGCCTTTTCCTTGTTACTTTAATTTTGATAATAATAGTAATAGCTGCTATTTATTAATTATTTACTGTGTGCCAGGCATAGGGCTTGGCTTTTTACATATAGTATTTCATACACTCTTCTGGGCAACTTGAAGACTGCACTCACCAACGTTGTCAGTGACCTAATTGCTAGCCTGAGGGATGTTCAGTGGTCCTCTCTGATTCCTCTGAGGCCTGTCTTCCCAGTGACCCCAACTTCTTTTTTTTTCTCCTTCTTTTCCGTTCAATGTGCCGGGTGCTGCGCCTGGTGCTGGAGACAGAGTGGTGAATAAGACCAATACAGCCCTGCCCTCGTGGGGCTTAAAGTCTAGTTGGGGACAAATGAGCTGGCAGATGAATACCACTTGGTGTGATAAGAGCTAAAATAGTGCTAGATCAGGAGGCCTAAGGAACTTTTGGAGGGAGCCCATAACCCAGCCCGGGGGGTCAGGGGCCTGAAGAATGGGTAGGTGAAAGTGAGAAGAAAGAATGATCCTTGGGTAAGAGACAGCATTTGCAACAGCGGGGAGATTGGAGGCTGGTTCAAGGCAGTAGATAAGTATGGCTAGGAGTTGAGCAGGGAATGTGGAGAGATGAGGCTGGAGAGTTGAGCCAAATCAGATCATGTGAGAGCTAGAAAGGCTCCAGTAAGAAGTGGAGAGCCATCAAAAGGCTGTGAGCGAGAGAAGTAACACCTTCAGATTTGCAGTTGAAAATGATCCCTGAACGTCTTTCCTCATCTATAAAATGGGGATAATAGTAGCACAGTAGAGCTGTCTGGAGAATTAAATGAGATGATGCATGCAAACAGTGCCTGGCACATAGGTTATTATTCATTCAGCTAAGAGAGTCCCTTCCATTGTGAAGCCTTGCACATAGCTCTGCATCGGCTGTAATTGCATTCTGTTATAACTATTATTTACTTATGCAGCTCTCTCTCAAACTGAGAACTGAAATAATCAAGGGAAAAGACCATGTCCCAATCCTGTCTATGTTTCCCGTTCCCAGCATATAAGCCTAGCACCTATTAGGCACTTGGTGAGTGCCAGACAAGGACTGAAGGGTGAAAAACACCTCAAAGGGGAAAGCGGGAGGGGTGGAGGGAACAGGACTTACGGCGTTCGACCACAAGAGGGCGCGCTATGTTCCCACGAGAGAGCCGGGCTGCTGGGCAAGGGTGTGCTCTCGGCCTCCAGCACAAATCACCTTAAAGGACCTTTCTTTAACGAAGCCCAGTGCAGAAAAGGTTGCTTTCTCGGGTCAAATGAGTAGGGAGTAATAAAATAAAAGTGTTTTGAAAAGTTTATTGTAGCCGCCGCTAGGCGTTAGTTAGGGGGTTGGGTGTTTTTTAACTGGAAAAGCAAAATGCCGCCTTTTCCTGAGCGCTTGGATATTTGTGGAAGTGGGTGGGTTGCACATCTATATGAGGGATTAGCGTGGGCTTGCATCGCGAACCCGAAGTTAGCAAACATTCACAGTCTGAGTCACCCATCAGGACTGGAAACCCACCAGACCCCCTGAGGGAAAGCAGGTGTGTGGAATTCAGGACAGGTGAATCAGACCCCTTTGGGAGGAAAGGAATGCGTTGAAAGCTACCCGGACAATCTCAGGGAAGGCAAGTGAAGGAGATTCAGGGAGGGAGCGGGGAAAGGAAGGAGTGTAAGAGGAACGGGAATAACGGGCCTCTGGGGAGGGAGGGGTTAACCCGGGCTAGGCGCAGAGGAGGAAAGCGCGTGGTGACGCCCGGGAGGCGGGCTCTCGGCGAGGCCTCTTGAAAACACCGGGCCGCTCCGGGTAAACAACGTGTTAAGGGGGTGGGCCCAGGGGCAGCCACGTGCCGGGGCGAGAGGCTACTGGCTCTCCCGGAGTTGTTTGTTGGCCGCCATTGGCAACGTCGGGGCGCCGCGACGAGCCGATTGGCCGGGATTCGGAGCCCCGCCAGGGCCAGGGTGGGGTGTAGGCGGCTGCCGCGGCGCTGGGCCCACCTGGGCCGAACGGAGCGCCAGCGCTACTCGCGCGGGGACCGGAGCCCGAGCCCGAGGCGCGGCCGCCGCCGCCATGCGCTGGGTCCGCGCGCTGCTGAAGAATGCGTCCCTGGCAGGGGCGCCCAAGTACATCGAGCACTTCAGCAAGTTCTCCCCGTCCCCGCTCTCCATGAAGCAGTTTCTGGACTTCGGTACAAGTGGGCGGGAGGCGGCTGGCAGCGAGGGCCCGCGGGGGGGTGGAGGTGGAGTGAAGGAGTCCTGGCCGTGAAGGATTAACGAGGAGGGTAAGGGAGGCCGAGTGACAGGGAAGGTTTGCTTGCAGGGATCCAGACAGGAAAGGGTTAACGGGGAGGAAGGGGCCGGCCGCCGGGCTTGAAAGGGTTAAGGGCACCGTTACTGAAGAGACTGAACTGTTAGCAGGAAGGGGGGGGCACTGAGAAGGAAGGGTCCAAGATGTCTTCCTGGGCTTTGTGGGGGTCTTGGAGAGGAAGGGGCAGTGAGGCGGTGATGTTGGAGCAGGAGGGTGTAACCACGCACTAAAGGGTTACTGGGGGTTGTCCTGGCGACTCTAAAAGTGAAGGTCAGAGAGGAAATGAGGGGGATGCTGGTGGGGGTAACAAGGCAGCACTGGGAGGTGCAGCCATCTGGAAGGAGACCTGCGCAGGGGGGGGGGGGGGGGGGGGGTCGTTTGCGGGAGGGGGCTCTTTCAGGTGCGTCAGCAGGAGTGAGGCCCTGGCCGGTACACCTCCGCCCACTGAAGGAGCTGGCTCCCAGCTGTCCTAGAGGGCAAGGACATTTGCAGATCAAATCTGCTGTGGCCTGGTCACCTTACCCCAGCTGGGCAGGGGTCCGGGGCACCATGAGATGGAGTCAGGTAGCTTGTACTTACCCATCTTTGGCTGCCCCCCTGGGTTCCTGGGCCAGGGTCCTCTACCATCAGTGTTCTGGGGGTGGCAAGGCGGTGCCAACGTGGGGACTGAAACAGGCATTGTGTGGACCCTGTCTGTTCACAGGGAATTTCCATGGTGCCAGCTGGAGATTAGGAGGGGTTGCCCAGGTCTCTCAAGAGTTGAGGAGACAGAGCCTGGCTTAGGTTACAGCTGTGTCACTGGTGGGACAGGGTGGGGAGGTGGCAGCCATGATACAGGGCATCTGTTCCCCAAGACTTGTCTGCCTACCCCCCTCCCTGTTTGAGCTCCCCTCATGTAGGAAAGCCTCCTGTGCCCACTCCCAGCCCCCAGCATCTGTCCAGTCCAGACTGGACCCCAGTTAACAGAACTGTCACAGCAGGGAGGGGCTCACAGTAGAGTTTGGTCCCCCACTTGGAGTTCAGTGAGGGAAACAGACCTTCAGAAGGATGGTGACATGCACTGGATGACAGTTAAAAGCAGAACCTGGACTTAGAACCCAGGTTTCCTGACTCTAGGCCATGGCCTCATTCAGTCCTCTACTCCCTCTTCATTTTCAAGCCAGACCAAGGATCAAAGTATTTGGGCCCCAGTTCTCAGGCCCTGTCTACCTCACAGGTGGGCGGGCATTAACATAGGGCAGCTCTACAATGGGCATAAAGACCAGCTGGGCCAGAGATGACACCGGGACCCTGCAGCTGCGGTAGTCCGAGCATAGCTCCCCTCAGCCAGGGGGAGCTCATCCCAAGGTAGGGATGGATTTCCCAGGCCCTTCTGCCCACCTGGATCAACCCCCCCGAAGTGAGTATCTACTAGGAGGGAAAGAAAGAGAAGTGAGATAACTTGGGCTGGAGGCAGCTCCCAGTGGGCCCAGGACGACCCTTTTCCCTGTGGTTGAAGGCAAGCAGGGTTCAGCTGGGGGTGGGGAGAGGATGCAGCCTCTCTAAGGGTTAGGCTGGGTGGTGTGGTGGTCAGTGCAGGGTGGGGTCAGGAAAGGCTCCTTGTCCCATGCCTCCATCTCTTCTCTTCTGAACCCTCAAGGAAATAAAGGATTTAGTGACCTGACCCCGCCCCCCCCCAAGATGCCCTCTGGCTCCAGTGCTTTGTAACTCTGTGAGCTCACCCTTCCCTCTCCCACCAGGGTCCAGCAATGCCTGTGAGAAAACCTCATTCACCTTCCTCAGGCAGGAGTTGCCCGTGCGCCTGGCCAACATCATGAAAGAAATCAACCTGCTTCCCGACCGGGTGCTGAGCACACCCTCGGTGCAGCTGGTACAGAGCTGGTGAGACCCCTGAATAGGTCCCCGCACCTCCCACCCCATTGTCAGATGCCCCCTGCTCCCAGGAACCTTGAGGGAGGCGGGGAAAGAGGAGAGGCACAGGGACTCCGAGAGGTAGGGGGGTTCCTATGGTCAAGTGGGAATGTTAGGCCAGAGCAGGGACTCAGATCAAGCTCGTAGCCTCCATGTCTAGGGGACACAGCCCTATACTCACCACCCTCCGTTCTCTGGAAACACAGGATCCGCCTAGAAATCATCATTTTCACAGCCAGAAACCCAAATCAGGCTAATGTCCGCATTTGCCACCAGCCCTGGTCCTGAAAATCTAGCACCTGTTGGGTAGTATTTACCTGAGGCAACTTTGTGGGAAGCAGACACCGGAAGAAGCTAATCTTCAAATTATATAATCCAAACACGTCAGCGTGTTTTGGATGTTGGAAAACCCTCGAATAGATGCAAGGACGGCACAGTACCAACTCCAAAGAGCTTTGGATGGGCAAAGACCAAAGGTTTATTGCACAGAGCAGCAGCAGCAGAGAGAAATCCTCAGTAAAGTTTACTCAGAAACTCTGTCCAGGGATAAGTAACTGAATGCCATTAGCCAGAGGCCAGTCACATGAAGAAGGAGCAAGAATTTGCTGTGTAACGGGGTATGTAAATGCGTCATCACGGTTGATCTTCAGTGGCGTGTGTGCAGAAATCTTTTGCCCTTGCTTCTGGCGGTGGCAGGTGTGGTATGACTGCGGTTTCCTTCCGGACTCGCGGCATCCACACCTACTTCGAGCCCAGTGCCGTGTTAGGTTAAACAGGCAGCAGCTGCCCTCAGGGAGCCTGTGATCGCACGGGGGGAGTAGAAGAGGGCAAACTAAGAGCTACACAGTGGCAGGAGCAGGAAGCCGCTGAAAAGTTAGCTTTGTTTAAATTAAAAGCGAAGTCTTATTTTTAAATAACATTGATTGGGTTTTTTCCCCTCGTTGCGGAAGTATGACATGTTCACGTTGACACCTGGAGAACACAGAAAAGTAGGTAAAAGGGAATGCCAACCACTACCGTCCCCTTAACCAAACACTGTTAAGGTTTTGTAAGTGCCCTTTATTGGTGCCCTTCCAGCTTTTTTCTATGCATGAATATGCATATGCATGACTTACTCTAATTAAATGAGGAGAAGGTAAGGAAGGACCAGGTGCATGATGTGTGCACAGTGAATTTCAGTTGAATCAGAAAGTTGTGGGGCAGTTGAAATGGACGCAGAGAGGAGGTGACGTGTCACTGGGCCTTACAGGGTGCCTAACTGAACCCTGACCTAGAAGGGAGGGAATGGCGTTCCAGGCCAAAGGAACTGCTTGTGCAAAGGTGCAGAGGCCGGAGAGGGCCCGGCTGGGGCATCTGAGTGCTCACTTTGTGGATATAGCGCTGTTACTGCAAGCGGTGAAGGTGGACGGGGGAACAGAGAGCAGAGCCTGATTTGCATGTGGCCCAACAAGGTCACCCCTCGCTGGGCCCTGTCCCTTAGAGGTCCAAGACCTCTGAGCCAACTGGCATTTCCTGCCATCGGGCAGTGTGGAAGGCATGGGGAGGGACAGAAGGTGCCATCTGTTCTCCCCAGCCCTCCTCCGGCTGAGTGACCTGGCTGCCTCTCCAGCTGGTCCCTGACTCCAGGTCAAGGCTTCTCAGGCCCCTCCCTGGACACCGTGTTCCTAGAAGAGTCAGGGGATGTGGGGAGGGAGGGCCGGGAGCTGCTGAACTGCCCGCGATGCCCCCGAGGCCCCCAGAGTCCCTTCCTGAAACTCAGTTACACGTGTGGGGGGCTTGGCCTGACGTTATTCTTCCCTCAGAGCTGGGAAGTAATGTCCAGCAGCAGCAGGAGGGAGTGAAGTTAGACAAAAGGGAAGACTTCCCAGTGCTTCCCAGTGACTCGCTTAGAGGGGAGCAGGCCAAGGTATTGCTAGAGTGTGCCGACACACTGAAGAGACGGCCTTCTGCGGTTGTTTCCAGAGAATGGATGTCAGCTGCAGCAAGAGAGACTGTGGTCTGAGGGAAGGAAGGGCTCTCCGAGGCGGCTGCCTGTGAGAGAGGGCAGACCTCCCTATCCAGGGGAACCCCCTTGCCAGCTTGGATGATGGAGGCGGTGGAGGTGGGTAGAGTCTGCGGGAGAGGAGGGGGACGACCTATCAGAGAGCCTGGCAAGAGGCCCGCCAGCCTCAGAGTCTGACGAGTGAGGAGCAAAACCTCCCCTTTGGAAATGGACAAGCCCTGAGCACCTGCTCTCTGGAGGAGCAGAGGTAATAGTTCATCTGTGGCGAGAGCTAATGGAGTTTCTATTCAGCTGGGGAAAGGTTCCAGGCAGGAATCACTGTGGGCAAGTGGAGAATTCCTGGCTCTAAACAAACCTGATGTATTATTTCAACCGGACAGACTTGGTGTTGTGGGAACTTGTTTTGGAAGTGACTGGAAGGTAGAGGAGAGCCCTGGGTGTGGCGCCGGCATGCCTGACTCTGAGGCTGGGCTTTGCTGCTTGCTAGACACTTAATGTTTGGTCAGCCACGTGGCCCCTCTGAGCCTCGGCTTCCTCATCTGTAAAATGGGGATCCGTTCTGTTGCTAAGGGTCAGATGCCACGGCTGGATGTGAAAGTACACGGAACTCTCTAAGCGTGAGTGATGTCTGCGAGCTTCTGGCAACAGCACCTCCGGGACAAAGATGATGTGCTGTGGCAGAGGTTCTCTTCACAGCGTAGTAATAATAATGATGACGATGGCAGAAGCAGACATGCCTGGAGCTGTTCTAAGCGTGTCCACGTATTAACTCATTTAACTTCACGACAGCCTGATGAAGTAGGCCTTGTTCTTATCCCCATTTTGTAGATGAGGAAACTGAGGTTCAGAGAGAGTAAGAAACTTGTCTGAGCTCATTCAGGTAATAATTGGTAGAGCCAGGATTCCATCCCAGGCTGTGTGATCTGGAGGCTGTGTTCTTGAAGGGAAAGGAGAGAACCGCATTCTGGGACAGTGACCAGGAGTCAGAGATTTCTAAGCTCACAGAACAAGTCAGTGGGAAAGTAGATTTTCTTTACAGAGATGGTTTGATGGCTAGTATTGTGGGGGCACAGAGGGGTAACCTTGCCTCCTCTCAGGAGAGAAAGACAGCCTGAGGAAGGGCGTGGAGTCGGTGGGGATGTACTTCGAGAAAATGGAGGCTTGAGTGATTATTGCAGAGTAGAATGAAACAACAGCGAGTCACTCCTGTCACCAGTAGAGCCTTTGCAGGGCTGTAGGGAAGGGGGTGGCAGGGGGTATCACCAGCACCTTCTATGAACTTCCCTTGCGTCAGCAAGGTATGTAGACCCCAAACCCAGCCCTTGTCCTGGAAAAGAATGACCACCTCACAGGTTCCGGGCACCCAGGGCCAAACCCTGCCATTGAATCCCTCAGCCACCACTTACGTAATCAGAGTGGAGACCGGGCACCAGCATCATCTCCTCTAATCCGCGCCTGCTGCTACGAAGCCCACTTCACACACGGGAACCTGAGTGGCACCGCCAGCAATGGGACCCAGGTCGGCCTGGCTCAGGGCCGTGCCCATCACCCCTCCACAAGCAGCTTCCAGATAGATGGGGGACACGTCTGCCCCCTCTCCCCTCCTCACAGGGCCTTTGCCTTGTTCACACCCCTGGTCCCCAGCGGCTGTGGACACTAGTACGTGGTGCACACACACCCGCAGGCGCCCAGACACACACACGCTTACCACTCCTCTGCCCCCATGCGAGGCTGCACACGCCTCCTCCCCAGCTGCCGGGCACTCATTCCGACACCCACACTCACACACACGCACGCGCGCACACACACACACGCGCGTGCACGCACACACGCTCACACACCCTCGCGCACACTCACGCGCGCGCGCGCACACACACACGTGCGCTGTCTCGCTCCCTCCTCTCCCCATTTTCCACTCCTCCCAGCTCCTAAATCCAGGGCTCTGGAATGGCTGGAAAGCCCCAGAGGCAGGGTTTGGGGCTTCCACATTACCTCGGTGGAGGGGAGAGGAAGGAAGCTCTAGATCTCACCCAGGAAGTCCTGGGCCTTGCTTCCTGTTGAGGTCGGCAGGCCAGGCCTTCCCTAGGGCGTCACATTGGCCCCGCTGCCTGCTCTACCAGGCCCAGGGCAGGTTGCGCATCTGTCATTGCACCAGTGGTCCAGACCGCCTGTGTCTAAGCCCAGCTCTTTCTCTGGCCCTCGGGGGTGGGCAGCCCAGGAGCCAGCGTCACTCCTTCCCCAGCGTCTTTCCCTTTTTAGGACCAAGATCTGGCCCAGGGGTGAGGTCTGGTCTGCCAGGCCCTTCGGGGGCTTCAGGCCAGAGTCAAGGTTCCCCTGGGAGAATCTTTGTCATCCTCTCCTCTTCCTTCCAAGAGCACACTCAGGACCACTCCCCTGAAGGAATGGCCCTGCGAGGGAGGCAGGCAGGGATTCTAAACCCTGCTTCACAGTAAGGAGACTGAGGCCTGAGGCTGCAGCTCTCCCCAGAGCCCTGGCCGCAGGCGCTGCTCATTGCCAGTCCATCCTGGTGCCCTTTGTTCTACTTCACGTGACAGCGCCCTCTGTGGTTCATTAGGCAGCCACAGAGGGACGGGGCCAGCAGCGAGAGCTCTCATCCTACCCTCAGCCCCGCTCCTGGCCAAGCTGGTCAGGGGCCCCTAGCTCTCTCTGCTTGCCCCCAGGGTCTTGGGAAGGGGTTCCAGGGCCCCCACCCCTCAGCTGGTCTCCTCCCTCTCCTCTCTCTGCCTGTCCCCACCATTGCATACTCGCAGGTTCTCCTCCCAAATCCCCTCTCCAAGAATCCCATGAGCCTGAAGCTTTCTTCTGGGTGTGGTCAAGGAATGAGGGATTTGGAGTAGCACAGGCCTGTGAGAGAGGATCCCAGCTCTGCATGTTAACTTCCTCATCTGTAAAATGGGTCTAGCGGTAGCACCCCCCCCCCCACACCCACAGGGTCACTGTGGAGGTTAAAGTAGGGGAACACAGAGCAGAGCCCTGGCACAAGGCCGGCGCCAGTAAATGCTGGGCCACCTTCACCATCAGCATCGCTGTTAGGACTGGCGTAGACAGTGAGCACTTGGCCGTGTGGTGTAGACCTGGCATCAGACAGACCTGGGTTGGAATCCCAGTCCAAATGCTTACTGTGGCCTGGGGCATATTACCTGCCCTCTCTGAGCTGGTTTCCTTGTCTGCAAAAGGGGGGAAATACCACATGCTCACGAAGGCTGCTGGGAGATGAGAGACCCTGTGTAGACCCTGAGCTCTAACGGTCACTGGGTAAGTGTCGTCTGTTCTTATTCTCCAGGGAGCCTGAGGTGAGGCCGAAGGAGGGCCGCTCTGACTGTCTGCCGGGGCTGCGGGGGTACTGAGGGGGAGCTGATCTCCTCTGCTCTGTCGGCTCCCCCTACCAGTGACTACGCCACCTCTTGCCAGGCGTCGTGCCGGGCCCTGGGTGGGGAGGGCAGGCAGGCGCAGCAGGGCGAGCACGGCCCCATTCCTGCCATCGGTGGCTGTCCAGAGCATGACAGATTCAAACATGGTGTGATTCAGAGTCTTTGCCCAGTACAACCAGGAGAAGTGTGTCGTGTGCCACCTGGGGACCCAGAGGGTGCACTCAGCTGTTGACAGTGTCTGAACCACTGTTCGAAACAAGAGCAAACGTTTAGAGAGTGCTCACTGTTTGCTAGGCACTGTGTTAATTATCACATTTAATTCTCACCAAAAAGCAGTGACAGCAGTAGGTACAAAACCCTTCCTTTTCTGATGAGCAAACTCAGGCCCAGAGAGGTTCCATGACTTACCCAGAGCCACGCGGCTCAAAGTGGAAAACCCCAGCCTGGAACTCGGCAGAGCCAGCTTCAAAGCTAGCTCTTTTACCCTCTTCTCCACTGGTTGAAGCAACAGAGGGAACAGTAGCACCCAGTGGGTGGAGGGGGCAGGGCATTCCAGGCAGAGGGAACCGCAGGCCCCGTGGGCTGAGCATTTGGGGCAGCCAGCACTGTATAGTGGCAGGAGCGCTGGAGGCCGGTCTTCACTATACTACCTCCCAGCTGTGGGACTGCTTCAGGCCTCAGTTGAGGAGACTGTGAAATGGGGCTAATTACTGCCGTTCTTACCTGTCAGGGTCAAAGCACTGTGTACCTGGGAATGCTTCCGACTGTGGTGGGGGCCTCTTCTAGAGACACTGTTAGGCCCCGGGGGCCCTCCCCCCCCCCCCCCCCCCCCCCCGTCCCCAGGTCAGAGCTCTCGGTGGCCCCTCCTTCCTGCCGGCTGGAAGTGTTTCTGCCGGAGAGAGGCTCAGCTCTCTGCCTTCCCCAGGAGAATGGGCTGTTGCGGGCTGAGGTGTTAGCAGGGAAGCAGTGGCGTCCTGCCTCGCAGTAGGGGTGGGGGTGGGGGACAGTGGCTCCAGGTTGCCAGCATCTGGGCAGCCCGGGTCGCTTCAGGCTCTCCGTGGGCTCCAGCCCTACCCAGCGTCAGAGCTGGGCATGCCCACCCCACCCCGAGTCCTTCCCACCCACCATTTAAAATCCAGTTCCCTAGGAGACTGCATAGCTCCTGGTGCCTGGAGTCGGGAGTATGAGGCTGTCATCTTCCTCCCTGAACCCCTGCTCTGTGACAGCTCTGGGCTGGCCACTCTGCCACCTGTGCCCGTGGGATGCAGCAACAACCCTGCGGGACAAACACTAAGATCTGCTTCCACGACGGGCCCTGGGGAGCTAAGTGCCTTGCCCCAGCCTGCTCTCACTGCTGGTCTCGGGCAAGGCCCCCTCTCCGGTCTGGGCCTCAGTCTCCTAATCCGGGAGACCTGTGGGTGGGGTGGTCACCAAACCCCCTTTGAGGACTGCTATTCTAGGATATCAAGCAGAGGCGCTCTAGGCACCAACAAATTAGAGACTTTCTTGCATAACTCGCGGTGTCATTGGGGAGACTCACGTACGGAGGGAGCAGAGTGAGAGAACTTTTGACGCAGCTTATGAACCCACGCGGCCCAGCTCTGGGCGGCGCCAACTGGAGGCGCGGGACGGAAGCAGGGTCAGCAGAGTCGGGTGTGCTGGGGCCCGGCCTGGGGCTGAGGCTTCCCCCGCCCCCTCCCGCACACAGGTATGTCCAGAGTCTCCTGGACATCATGGAGTTCCTGGACAAGGACCCTGAGGACCATCGGACCCTGAGCCAGTGAGTGAGGCCTCGGCTGGGGGCGGGAGGGCAGGTGTGGGCCACGGCCCCGGGGGCAGAAATGCCAGCGAGATGAAGGAAATGCCCCCACCCTCAGGGGTGTCCAGTCTGAGGGGGCAGAGAGCCCCCGATCCTTGGTGTGCCCTGAGTCTGATGGGGGGACCCAGGCCCCGCCCCTGTGGAGCTCCCAGGCCGTCAGGCAGGCGGTGGGAGATTTGGGGTGGGCTTCCGGAGGAGTGGGCTGGGGAGAGTCGAGTGGGTGAAGGCACCGTGCAGAGAAGTGGGGAGAGTCTGAGGGTGTCCCAGGGCTGGGGCGGGGTGAGGGCCGACGTGTACCCCCATCGCAGGTTCACCGACGCCCTGGTCACCATCCGGAACCGCCACAATGACGTGGTGCCCACCATGGCGCAGGGCGTGCTGGAGTACAAGGACGCCTACGGCGACGACCCCGTCTCCAACCAGAACATCCAGTACTTCCTGGACCGCTTCTACCTCAGCCGCATCTCCATCCGCATGCTGATCAACCAGCACAGTGAGCGGGCGCGGGCCGGTCGCTGTTCACGTGTTTACAGATGGCAAAACCGTGTCGCCTCTTTACGCGGCGTTCGTAAAAGTCTCGTTACGTTAGGACACAGGCGGTTGTCTGGTGTTTCTTACTCCAGGAGTATTAACTATGATTGTTGAGAAATCGTAGCCAGTCATTAATTACACAAGAAGGTAAAAATTACTTTTAAATGTATAGCAAAAGAGAAGACTAAATATAATGTAGAATGTATGGGGAGGAAACTTCTGAGAAGAATGCGTCAGGCGTACAAAGGTCCAAGAGTGGCCTGGGCCAGGGCTGGAGGGGCCAGGGGTCAGGGGAGAGAGGGTGGGGGGGTGCGGCATCAGGGTCAGAAGTGTCAGAAGTAGAGGTGGAGCACTGGAGAACGGAGGGGGAGGGAGCGCTGGGGTTGTGTGGCCCCGCTAACCGCGCCCGCCCTCCCCGCCCACAGCCTTGATCTTTGACGGCAGCACCAACCCAGCCCACCCCAAACACATCGGCAGCATCGACCCCAACTGCAGCGTCTCTGAGGTGGTGAAAGGTGAGCTGTCCCCACCGTGCCTGGCCCACAGAGGAGCCCCAGTGATCCCCCAATCTTACCTGGCCAGACGGTGACCCATTCCCCAGTGGGTGGGGGCCACGTCCCCATGGGTTCAGTGTTGGTGCCAAGAGGACTGCCTGCTGGGGAGAGGTCACCCCATTCCCTGATGACCCCTCTCTTCTCTCAGATGCCTACGACATGGCCAAGCTCCTGTGTGACAAGTATTACATGGCCTCACCTGACCTGGAGATCCAGGAGATCAATGGTGAGGGAGTGAGGCTGTGTGTCTGCTTGTCTGTCTGTCTAAGGGCTGGGCACATGGGAGAGGAAAGTGAGGTGGGACTCAGGAAATGAACTGTTACCTGGATGAGGGAGAAGCAGAGCTGTTATTGTATTATTATTATTAATTTATCTGGTAAATAGTTATTAAGCAGTAAACACAACAGGCAAGGTCCCCGTTCCCACGGAGCTCACATTCTCGGTACTGGGGAGGTAGGGGAATGGGACCTTTAACCAATGAACAAATAACAAACAAGATAACTTCAGGTCATGATAAGTGACAGGAAGGAAACACAATGGGGTAACGTGACAGTGATGGATAGGAGCAGTGTATTAGGTGGGATATGAGTTTGGCTGTGTTCCCAAAATCCAAAAACGGGTTTAATTTGAGAGAGAGATTTCCCTCTCCCCAGCCCCTGCGGGAGAATGGTTAAAGCTGGCTACCCACCCTCATGTCTCAGTTCCAGCCTGGAGAAGGGGAAAGAGGATGTAGAAGGCAGGGCCCAAGAGCTGAACATAGCACTTTCCTAAGTCTCCCAGCTGCAAGGGAGGCTGGGAATTTAGTCTCTAGCTGGGTAGTCACGTGCTAGTCAAAACTTCAGGGGAGGGAGGCATCTATTACTAAAAGAAGAAAGGGAATAACGGATACAAGAGGATGGCTACAAGGGTCCTACTTTGGATGGGGTAGTCAAGGACCAGAAGGACCAGTGTGGTGGGGTTAGGAGATTAAAGGGGTGATGGGTGGGAGAGAGGCTAGGCTTGCAGGGCCAGTGGACCACAGACAGGAGCTGGGATTTTGAGAGCAACAGAAAGCCACTGGAGGTTTGAAGCACGGTGATGACAGGAGCTGAGTAACATTCTAAAGATATTTAGAGGGGACTTCCCTGGTGGCGCAATGGTTAAGACCCCGTGCTCCCAACACAGGGGGCCCAGGTTCGATCCCTAGTCAGGGAACTAGATCCCACATGCATGTTGCAACTAAGGAGCCAGTGAGCCGCAACTAAGGAGCCCACCTGCCAAAACGAAGACCCAGTGCAACCAAATAAATATTAAAGAAAAAAAAAAGATATTCAGAGGTTGGAGGAGGCAGGAGAGGACACAGGAAGACCAGTTAGGAGGTCATTGCAGATTCAGGCAAGGAGAAGGGAAGGCAGCAGAGAGGAAAAGAAGGGGGTGAACTGGATAAATACCTTGGAGGTGGAGGGGTGAGGAGGATCAGGGCCTCTACCCTCCCCTCCACCCACCTGCTCCTCAGCCACCCTGGCCTGTGGGCCAGAAACCTGAGGTGTTCATGCCTCTGTGCGAAGTCACACTGCCCACATCCTAGTCTTTCCTTAAGACCTGGATCAAGTCCACCTCCTCTGAAAAGCCTTCCCGGACTTCCCAGGAAGAGTTAGGCACCGCCTGCCCCAAGTGTACCTCTAAATTGCACTGTTTGAATTACTTGGCAGAAACCAAAGGGCAGAGACAGGCCGCTTTACTTCAGGATCCCTGGGGTCAAGCCCAGGGCCTAGCACACAGCTCTGGGTACAGCACCTAATGTGAAAGTCAGTTGTGCGTTTCTCTGTCTAGACTTGAATTTCTGAGAGGGTAGGATTGAATTTTATTCAACTTTATGTCTCCACTGCTCAGCACAGGGCCCGAGTTTCCTTCATTCATTGATCCACTGCACATTTACTGAGCTTCTGCTACATACAAAGCTCTGTGCCAGGCACCAGGAAGAGACACTCAGTCTATAAAACCAAGAAAACTCTCCAGGATAGAGTGATTCTTGGGAAGTAGGATGCTTGTGTCAAAATCACCTGGGCAGCCCCCTCCCCTCTCCTCTGGGTGAAAAGGCTCTACAGGGGATTCTGGTATCAAGGTGAATGCTAGTAGGCTACATTTAGGATAGACAGATATTATTTGGGTGGATGAATGATGGATAGATGGGTAGATAAACAGTGGATGAATGGAAGGATGGATCTGTACTTTGAATGAATGGATAGATGGGAAAGAGATGTTTGAACAGATGCATAGATCGAGGGACAATTGGATGGTTGGATGGACATTGAATGGGTAGATAGAGGAATGAATAGATACTGAATGGATATGACTATGAATGGATGGATAATGGATGGCTGGCTGCACGGACAGACACTGTATAATGGATGGATATTATACAGAGAGACAGATGGATGAATGGACACTGAATGAATGGCTAGATGGATGAACAAGTGAGCAGATGGATGGACGATGGATGGACAGTGGTTGGTGGTTGAGTGCTGGGTGCTAGATGCTGGTGAATGAATGCTGAATGGTGACCTCTTGACAATTTCCTGATCTGTGGTTTGGACTTCCCTGGCAGCATCCAACTCCAAACAGCCAATTCACATGGTCTATGTCCCCTCCCACCTCTACCACATGCTTTTTGAACTCTTCAAGGTGAGGAGGCTGGGGGATGGTCCTTTGTGGGGGGTGGGAGTGGTGAGGTCTAGGTTGCTCTCACTGTGTCTTACCCCTTTTCCACCACAGAATGCCATGCGAGCGACTGTGGAAAGCCATGAATCCAGCCTCACTCTCCCACCTCTCAAGGTCATGGTGGCCTTGGGCGAGGAAGATCTTTCCATCAAAGTATGTGACCCTTGACTTTGGGGGCCAGAGAGCAGTGGTGTGGAGACTTCCCTCCTGCCAGGAGATGGGCTGAGGGAAGCCCCTGGGGGTGAGGAAGATCTGAGAAGGTCGGGTGGGGTGTGGAGAAAACTGAGGTCTGGAGACCCTGACGTGTCCCACGTCCCCCAGATGAGTGACCGAGGTGGGGGTGTTCCCTTGAGGAAGATTGAGCGACTCTTCAGCTACATGTACTCCACGGCCCCCACGCCTCAGCCCGGCACCGGGGGAACCCCACTGGTGAGATGGCTTCTCTCTGGCTCCCCCCACTGGCCTCCTGAAGGATGCCTGTTGGCCTTCGGGTCTCTTATCAAATTGTCATTCTTGCCCATCTCTCGCTTCCCTACCTCCCACGGTCCCTCCGTCCTTGTGTGGCCGTGTGTGAGTCTGAGTCTGGGCCTCCCTGCTCTTCCTGTCTCTCCCAGCCTGTACCTACCTACCTATCTGTGGGTGTCTTCTGTCTGTCACTGTTGCTCAACTCTCCCTTCCCCTCTCTCTCTCCACAAGGAACTACCTCTCTCTTGGAGTTGTTCAGCTTACCAACACCTCCCTGTCCGTTCCCAGCAGAGTAGGCAGAGCTGGGTGTGGGAAATTGAGACAGAGAGGTGCCCCGTGACCTGCCCAGACCCCTGGCTACCAGTCCCGAGCCCCTCTCCCTGCCCTGCTTACTGCTCCCCACCCGCCCCATGCTCCGCAGCCTTCCTCCCTCTGCCAGACCGATTTCCTTTATCCCACGGTCCCCACCTTGCCTCAGAGCTGTCCCTTTCTCATGTCCCCTCCCCACCCCAGTTCTGGGAGTCCCCGTGCACGACCCCAGCCTGGCCCTCCTCACCCAGCACATCGGGTCCCTGCAGTTCCAGGAAGCCCAGGGCCAGTGTCTCATCACGCTCCCTTCTCACCCCCTTGCAGGCTGGCTTCGGGTATGGGCTCCCTATTTCCCGCCTGTATGCCAAGTACTTCCAGGGGGACCTGCAGCTCTTCTCCATGGAGGGCTTTGGGACCGACGCTGTCATCTATCTCAAGGTGAGTGCCCCTGCCTGCAGAGTCTGGCTGGGGGAGTTTGCTGATACGTCGGGCCTGTTATTAGGTTGCTTTTCCATCCCTCCAGTCTTTTCCTGATTCCAGACTGAGAATCAGAGCGAAGCTATAGTTCGCAGCCACCAGGCACTCCTAAGTTGGCAGGCAATTTCAGGGAGTCTGTGGTTTGCATGAGTAAGACCCTGTTCTGGGAACCCTTGACTTGCTAGACTCAGAAGGAAACGGTGGTGGTGGGGGGTGCGCTTCCCTGGTGGCTCAGTGGTTGAGAGTCCGCCTGCCAATGCAGGGGACACGGGTTTGTGCCCCGGTCCGGGAAGATCCCACATGCCACGGAGCGCCTGGGCCCGTGAGCCATGGCCACTGAGCCTGTGCGTCCGGAGCCTGTGCTCCGCAACGGGAGAGGCCACAACGGTGAGAGGCCCGCGTACGGCAAAAAAAAAAAAAAAAAGAAGGAAAGGGGGGACCACAGAGAACTCCTGATTCAGCTCAGGGGGAGACTGAGACCCAGAGCTGGTAACCTTGTTCAGGGTCACAGAGCCTAGCCTCCTTCCTATCTCTCCCTGACCTTTAAGTGAACAGCCTTCTTGAATGGGCAGGAACAAGCCACAGAAGGGACAGACCCTTTCATGGGTCTTTCCGGGTTAGTCATCTCAGCCAGTGTCTGGCACTTGGCTGGGCTAACATGTGGGCCACAGTCAGTGGCCGCCAGAGCGTACCGGGGCAAGGCTGGTCTGCCGAGGAGTGGGCAAGGCGCAGGGAAGCAGGAGAGGCTGACCCTGATGCCGTTCAGGCCCTGTCCACGGACTCGGTGGAACGCCTGCCCGTCTACAACAAGTCAGCCTGGCGCCACTACCAGACCATCCAGGAGGCCGGTGATTGGTGTGTGCCCAGCACGGAGCCTAAGAACACGTCCACGTACCGTGTCAGCTAGAGGCCACCCCACTCATCCGCACCCAAGAGGATGGACTGCTGTCTCTGGATCCGGCCACCATGGTGACCCTCCCTGTCCCCACCCCAGGTTGGGGGAGGCTCTCCCTGATGACCAGCTTCTTGTCTCTGTGGAAATCACTGCGGTGACCGGTCTGTGGTGGCCCCTAAGTGCCAATCTCTGTCCCTATGGAGACTCCTAGGTGATCTCCCTGGGTCCAGTCTCTGTGGGCAATGCCTGAGGATTGGGGGATGTCTCCACCCTGATAGGGTGTCCCAGAGATACATTTCCATGGCATTCTTTCTCTCTGAGCCCAGAGCTGCCACTTCTCTGCTGGGGGTCCTAGGTCCCCCTCACTGCCTTCCACAGCCCTGGCCTTCCAAGTGGACACCCCTGCTTGCCTTATTCCCTTGGCCCGTGCCGGTACCCTGGCCCTGGTCTGGTGTCAGTGTTAGGAAGGGGCCAGGTACCCGCCACATCTGGCATAGTGGGAGGGGACCCTTGGTTGGGGACCTGGTCCTACAGTCTCTTCCTCCACTCTGAGTTTAAGGTCAAAGTTAGGAGGGAGGGGTTTCTCACCTGGGGCTCACCCCTAAAGCCGAGGAACCTGGGAGGACCCAGAGCTTGGCCATCCAACCAAGCTGCTTGAAGCCTGCAGGTGGCCCCAGCAATGTTTCTGCCACCTCCCGAGCCCTTCCCCTGCATGTCCTCACGTGCATACACCTGCCTGCCACACACGGTCCCCCACTGAGCTCCAGACCCCAATTCCCACTGTGCCCGCGTGTGCTTGGGGTGGCTTTCTCCCTAGAATGTTGTGTGTACATAGCTAATTTCATAGCCCTGAATGCGCCCACCCTTTCCCTTAGCACACAGGGGGTTAAAGTTGTGTGCTCCTCCCAGTGGCTGTGATGGTGACAGTGACATCCACAGTAAAGAGGAGATCGAATGAGACTGCAGCCCCGCTGCTTTCCTGGGGGAGGGAGATCCTCACGTATAAACGCATACAGACTGCAGCCCCTGTGACCAACACATGACGCGCTCGGGACACCTGATCCCAGCTCAGGACATGGTTCAGTGCATGTCGAGTGTAACAGCGGCCACAGCTGTCCATTCAGAGCACTTGACGGTGCAGCACCCAGGGACAGGACTGTGGCCTCCCACATTCGGGGCCCAGCCCAACCCCCCAGCTGGGGCAGACAGAAAGGTCACTGGCACATCGTAAGTGTTTATTGAAATAAACTGAGTACCGCCTCCCCCTTCACATGCAGGTGGGCACCCAGATAACTCCTGATGGCTTCAAGGACCTGGGAACTTTTCACCTTCCCCACTGGCCCCTCCTCTGGGCCCAGATGGTACTGATGCCCCCATATCTCAGTCCCCTCTCTGAAGCCCCTCTCCCGGCACAGATAGCAGAGAGGAGGAAAGGACTGAGACCCAGGAATAGGGGTAGCCCTCAGGCCACAGCGCTTGGGCTGGAACGAGGGGAGTAGGCATGCATCAGGTCCTGTCCACCGCTCCAAGCGGATGGGAGGAGGTGGAGCGAGGTCTCTAATCGGAGGCCACTGGCCTCATTGTTAACTCCGGCCAGTGCTCCAGAAGCTGGGCTAGCCGCTGGCCAGCACCGTAGCCGCATGCTCCCTCCCTACAAGGACAGATGGCTTGCTCTGGGCTGCTGGGGTAGACTCCACCCCCACCCAGGGAGCTGGCCCCACCCCTCCCTGTGGCCCAGGAACCGGAGCCCGCACCGTCTGCCAGTTCTGGAACCCACTGAGGCCTTGCTAGGGACCAGGGCAGATGGGGGACGGCTGATGAACCTTTCCAATTTAGCAGCCTCCGGGGGACCTCCCAGATTTTGCCTCTCTGCTTGGCTGGGACGAGGATTCACCAGTTCAGGACCATCTAGGCATTGGTAGGGGGTGTCTTCTGTGGCCACCAGCTCCCAAGTTTGCTCTGTCCTCAGGGAGGGCCCAGGTGGCCTCTGAGGGAGCAGCAGAAGTGGGCCCAGCTTGGGGAGTGGGTCAGAGACCAGGCTTTGGGCCTCAGGAGGGGCAGACCTGCAAGGGCATTATCTCAACACTGAGACCCACAGGACAGGGACAGGGAAAAGGAGGAGCTTTGCCTCCTCCCTTCCTTCTGAAGTCCTTGCAGAGATGATGTGGGGTAATCACGCTGCTTTCTCTGCCCTCCTGTTGACGAGTGCAGACCGGGAGCCTACCTTGCATGCAACTTGCTGCAGGCCCACCAGCCTCCCTGCGGAGCAGGACAGGGCTCTCCTGACACACAGTCACCTGGGAGAGCTGGAAAGGAGCTGCTTTATCTACCTGCTCCTGCAGAGATGCCCGGCCCACCTCTCTGAGCCCAGGGCTTCTGGTAGGTAAGCAGGCCTCCTAATTCACTGCTGGTCCCAGGACCACCATGGCCTGAGGGCAGAGGGTCAGAATGACTCAGGCACTTCCGGGCTCCCAGACTTGCTTCAGCCCTGGCGTCTCTGCCCATAATCTGCCACTTCCCCCAGGAACCGTGTGCCAGACGAGTCCTTGAAATGGGATTTATTACTGGGTCCTCCCCTTGGGGTCTCCCTTTCTGAGGAATCTGGGTCCAGATAGAAGACAGGGTGAGAGGGCTGTTCCTCCTGAGAACATGGGGCCAGGCCCCACTTCCCCGGGCGGCCTGTGCCCTCAGAGCCCAGCAGCTGCCCGCCCGTCTCCCTAGCTCCTCTTGGCCGTCTGCTCCCTGCGCCGCAGCTTCTCACGCTGCCGCGCAGCCTTCTCCTGGGCCTTGCGCTCCTTCTCAGCGGCCGCTGCCAGCTCCTTCAACTTCCGCTTCACTAGCGCCCGGTCATGTGAGTTGCTGAGCCCCAGGCTCTGGAGGAGGAATCCAAAGGTGAGGGGAAGAACCCCGGAGCCACCCAGGCCTGGCCAACCCAAGCCCCGGGTTCTCTGTGCCCCAGGTGTATTCTATCCGGAGCTCTTGCCAGCCCTCAGCCTCCACCTCCCAGACTTGCTAATGGATCAGAACCCTCAGGGCAAGAATTTGGAATGGGAGTGATTGGGACAGATGGCGGTAGAGGGTTGGCTCCCATATTCCTCCACTCAGGATTTCAGCCTTGGCATGACCCTGCCTGATCCCCCTGAGGCCCAGAGACGGGGAGCAAAACGTCCAAGGTCACACAGCTAGTCAGTAGCTGAGTCCCCTCTCCATCCCAGAGACTTCCTGGGGGACTCTTCGCACCACCGCTTCCCCAAGCAGCTCAGCAGAGGGTGCACAACAGGCCAGAAGCCCCCAGTGTCAGAGAGACACCCCCTGCCACCGCCCCCCCCACCCCACCCCCACTCGTTCCCTCCCACAACCACCAGCCTCCAAGATTCTTAGTCTTGGAGACTAAGACTCCAAGAACCAGGTGAGATGCCCAGGGGAGACTGTTTAGAGCAAAGAGTCAGATAGGATAGTCTTCAGGGTCAGAGGTCAACCTGGAGACTTGGGCTGGAGCTTGAAGGTCAAACTGAGGAATTGGGCTGGAGTCAGACTGGGAACCCATACTAGAGAGCAACGATCAGGCCGGGGATCTTGCCTAGAGGTCAGAGGCCAGGGCGGTGGTCTTAAAGGGAGTGGAAAGGTCAGGATGAGGGGATCCTAATTCTTGAAGGTTGCCTCAGGCTCTGGCTGGGTCGTGGCCCTTCTACTCTGACCCACCTTCAGCTTGCTTCCATCCAGCTGCAGTAGCTGTGGCCCATCCACCTGCCTCGCAGCAAACTCCGCGGCATACTGCTCCAGGTTGAGGCTGTGCAGCCACTGGCCCACCTGCTGACTGGTCCAGTGGTAGATGGTGGGGAGAGGTTCATCCAGAAACTGGGGCGGAGACCAAGGAGCGTGAGGGGGGAAGGCGTGGCCCGTGGCCCGCACACCTGGCTGCGTCAGACGTCAGGGCCTGCTTACCTCATCCGAAGACTGGGACAGTGTGTGGTAGGGGTAGGAACACTTGCCCGCCTGCCGGGGACCACTTGGAATCTTGGGGCTGCTGCTGGGGGGTGTGGAGTCATCGCTCAGAGTGGATTCCTAGACAGGAGGGGGGCATGGTGCTGAGGAGAGAGCTCACCTCCAAGTGCAAGGCAGTCACCCCCGACCCTCCAGCCCCATCCAGAGGAAGCTGAAGCCCAGGGCTGAGCACCAGGAGTTGCTCAGGGCCCTCGTAGTGAACCAGGAGCTAGGCGGCCACGCTGGGCGCGGTGACTCGTGCGAGGCATCGCATCTGAGGCCTCTGGGAGGACGTGGGGCTAGAACTGAGCCAGGCGGAGTAGTTAGCAGGAATGGAGGAGGTCAGACTGGTGTCGCTTTCTAGACAGCTGACTGGGATTCCCTCGCGCTGGGTCGGACGTCTCTGCCTTGTGCCTCCCCAGCATGGCCTCTAGCACCCTGGCTCGTAAAAACCTGGTTAGATGTCTTTGTCCTCACTGGACTGTGAGCTCTGTGAGGGCCTGGGCTGTGTCTGTTCACCAGGGCCCAGCACAAGGGAAGGAAGAAAGGGAGGGACCCCTTCTCCCCTGAATTTCCGGTTTTCTGATCTCCTCTGACCCGGCTGCACATAAGGAACAGAATCACAGAACAAGCACAGGGCTGGGAGTCATAGCGCCTGGCACCTAAATCCAACTGAGTCTGTAGGGACATCCCTTCAGTCTGGGCTTGCATTTGCTCATCTATACAATGGGGGTGAGTGTGTCTGCCTTCCCTACTTCACTGAGCCTTTCTGAGAGTAAAGCAGAAACATGCACTCGGAGCTTTGTAGACTGCGGAGTCCTGGTGAACGTAAACAGATGCTCATTCTTGCTTCTGCTACTCGGTCTCACTTCTCCCACAGGGTTGTGCGCTTTCTGAGCACTAGCTAGGTTGGGGTCCTGTTCATCTCTGCTTCCCCCAAGCATCACCACACCACACACGTAGCCCAGCTCCTAGGACAGGACATGGGGCCAGAACTGAGCCAGGCAGAAGAGCTAGCAGGGATAGAAGAGCCCTCAGGCCGGGTGTGTACTAGGGGACCATGGAGGCAGCAATGAACGAATCAATGAAGGAGCCACTCAGCATATAAACAAGTGAATGAGTGAATGCCTGAACTCAGAAACTGGATGAATTAATGGATCACTGAATGGCTCCATGGACAGACAGATGGACCCCAGGAATGCCTGGATCCCAGCCCAAGCCAGGGTGAAGTATGTCTTCATGTCACCTGAGTCTGGGGGCCAGTATGGGAGCCAGAGGGCCACAGACTCACCTGAGAAGCTGACTTCTTAGGGCTGAAGCGCTCGTGTTTAGGGGAGCAGGCCGGGGAGGTGGTGCTGCCAGAACACGCCGAGCCCTTGCCACTGTCTGTGAACCAGGAAAAGGGCAGGAACGGGGAGCCCCCTGACCTGCCGGACCCCTCCACTGACTCCCTGTGGAGAGAGCGCCCTGCATGGGTGTGGGCACCAAGGCAAGGGCTGGGGCCCACAGGGAGCTGGGGGTAAAAGCTGTGGCTGAGGGGCTGTGGGTACCTCTTACCTGCTGCCCATGGACAGACGGTTGCTGCCCTTCTCCTTCCGGCTCTTGCTAGTGGATGCTCGGCGTAAGGTGACCCTGTGGGGAGGGCAAGGGGGAGTGGGACAGTGCTGCCCACTATGCTACCCCCATCCCCAAGCCTTTGTTCTTGGCCCCTCTTCCACTCACCCCAGGTCCAGGAACTTTCGGCGAGTCTTCTTATCCAGGCCAATGGTAGGGCTGGCGGGCTCAGGTGGGCTGGCATCCCGGCTGTCATCTTTTGTGGAAGAGAAGGAAGGAAATAGCCTGTGTGGTGGCTTGTCTGCCTCCTCCAGCTGCCAGTGAGGTGGTAGGAATTCTCTCGACTTAGAATCAGGCAACCTGGCTCTGGTGCCCTTCACTAGCTGTGTGACCTAGGACAAGTCGCTACCTTCTGAGCTTCCTGCATCTCAAATACGGGGATAATGACACTGCCTATTTCATGAGAACTAATAAGATGTTGATGAAAGCCTTATACAAACCATAAACCACGCTGAAAAAGTGGACCACTGCTGTTTACTGTTAATTTTATCTTGTCCAACTTGTAGCCAACCTTCTAATCTTGGCTCACATGTCACTTCCTCAGAGAAGCCTTCCAGGATGCTCCCAACTGCTCCCAGGATGCTTTCACGCTGATATATGCTCTCCCGCCCCGCGCACTGTTTTCTCACATAGCACTTAATACACCTTGTAACTATACGTTTAATCAATGGATGATTTGATTGCTTCTCCTCGAACCTATAAGCCCCGTGAGGACGAGAACTGCATCTGCTTGCTCTTCTGTGTGTGTCAGTGCCCAGCAGTGCCTGGCACATATTAAGGCGCTCGGGAAATGAGTGAAAGAACCGTGGTCTTTATTCCCCACCTTCCCCAGCCACCCTGCCCCTCGGATCCCGCCACGCACTTCGGCGCCCAAGGGACCTCTTGCCAGCAGGGGGCGCCGCGCCGACCGCCGCTCACCTTCGCTGTGCGGCTCGGCGCGGGCATGGCGGCGCACGAAGCTGGGCGAGCTGTCGGACGAGGGCGCGGAGCGCGGCGGCGAGCAGGAGGCGGCGGCCAGGCCCTCGTGCGAGGCGGCGTTGTGCAGGGGCCTGTAGCGTGCGAGCGGCGAGGGCGGCGGCTCGTCCTCGTCCAGGCTGCGCCGCAACCCCGGGGGCTCCAGGCAGAAGGAGCTCCCGGCTGGGGACCCCGGGCCCGAGTGCAGAGGTGAGCGCAGCCGGTGCAGGGGGCTCCCGCAGCCATCGGTCACCTGGGGAAGGGGCAGCCGCTCACCGCCAACCCTCCTCCCCTCTTCCCGGAGGGGAGCTCGGGCTCCTAGGTCCTTCCGGGACTTGGAGGGAGGGTTTCCTCGTGCCTTGGGCCGAGAGGTGGCTGGGCAGCGAGAGGTGGGAAATGGGACTTCCGGTCACACAGGCTGGGGCTGGATCCCGCCTCCTTCACTTACTAACTGTGTGACTTTGTTAGTGAACCTCTCAGAGCCTCAATTTCCTCGTCTGGAAGATGGGGATGATACCTTCCTTGAAAGGATGAGATGAGCCAGAATTGAACTGCAGCTAATATCTGTTAGCCTTATTATGTCAGAAGTCTAGGGGTGTGGTTTCCCTGGAAGAGTGGTTTGGAGGGATTATCCAGGAGCAAGAAGGGTGGGTGGGGTATGTGCGATTGGGTGGATTGCCCCAACCTTGCCTCCGGGCCCATCGGAGCCTTCACCATCTTCTGCAGAGCTGGCACTGTCCCGAAGCCTCGAGCGGGAGGGCCTGTGTCTCCGGCCCTTGGCCAGTAGTTGGGCTCGGGCCTTGTGTAAACTGCTGTCCAGTCTGACGGTCTCTGGCACAGCCAAGTCCAGGTCTGCAAACCGGGGAAGAGGGGCAGAGACCAGACACATGAGGACAGCAATCCCGGAGGCCCACCTCAAGTGGCCACCTGTACTCACACCCAGGCATTCAACAAACGTCTCCAAGCGCAGGGCACTGATAGTCCTATGAGATGGAGAGCTGGGTCTTTCACAGTCTCGCAGGGAGCTGGACATATCAGCTCATACAGTGTGTGATGGAACCTCTCACAGGTACAGAGGACAGGATGGCTCTGTTTGGATGGGTTGGAGGAGGAAACACCAAAGCTGGGTCTTAAGGTCTGGATGGGAGTTTACAAGAGAGGAGGTTGGCAAAACTAGTATATGCAATGCTGGGAGGAAGGGAAGCCGGGGGCGGGCACCTCCAGGGCAATGGGAGGGCAGGTTTGTGGAGGGAAGGACTGGAGGATGAGGCCGGAGAGAGCATGGTTGTAATTGCTACCACTGAAGAAGTGCCAACTACACGCCAGAACATACATACAACACCTTGTCTACCTAGAACAACCCGCAGGCTAGGGACAGCTGTTATGGACATTTCACAGCTAAGCAAACTGAGGATCAGAGAGGTTAGGTCTCTTGACTGAGGCCAGCAGCTAGCAATGTTCTGGGATTTGAGCCTGGCTAGTCTAGCTCCAGAGATTGGCCCTGCTGGGGACACTGGCTTGCTGTGCCATGCTCAAGGTCACACTCAGAGACAGCACTGCTGAGCATCTAGAGGGCTCACAGTTAACTGGAGCAGAGGGACCCCCAAAAGCCAGCGGCGGTGGCAGAGAGGAAAGCCTACAGACCCCTGAAGCCTGTCTCTCCCGTCCTGGGGTCCATGGCCCAGGGCTAGGTCCTGGATGAGGACATGGCGGAAGAGTAGGCAAACCCTACAGATTATGCATAGACCCTCCTGCTCCAAGTTTCACTTTCCATTTGCTCCACCGGAGAATGCAGCCTTCACTCTGCAGTGAGCCTGAGCTTCTCCAGGCAGAGAAGGTTCTTCCCAGACCTCGGCATGGGTTAAGACCTTTCTTCACCACTCCACCCCTCATGATCTCAGGGTCCCCATACCATCACTCAAGGCCCTGCCTTGCCTGCTCCTCTTTCCCTTGTCTGCAGACGCCCCCTAAGCCACCCCAGTGGCTGAACTACTACCTATACCTATTTCCAACTCTGACCCCTCCCCTGAATTCCAAGTCTGGGCACCTCAGCACCTGCCAGGGAACTTACCATGTCAGAATCACCCAGGGACCTCAAACTCAACCCATCAAACGAACCCACCACCTTGCCTCAAACTGGTTCTCTGTCCCTGGCTCACTGAAAGGCCCCACTGTCCACCCAGTCACTCCTCTCAGACCCAGTTGGTAATTCATGTGTCCAGCTGCCTACTTGACACCTCCACTTGGATGTCCAATGGGCATCTTCAACGTATATGTCACAATTGGACTCCTGACCTCCGTACCCCCTAAGCTGCCCGGTCTGCCCAGCTCAGTGAATGGCGTCTCCATCCTTGCAGCTTCTCAGGCCAAACCCCTGGAGTCACCCGTGATTCCTCCCTCTCCCTCTCACCCTGCAAACTGATCCATCCACAATTCCTGTTAGCTCTACTTTGGAAATATATCTAGACATGCTGAAATATTTATGGTGAAATGACATGATGTTTTGGGTTAGGTTCAAAATAATCCAGGAGACTAGGAGTGGAGAGTGGAAGGGGATGTAGATGAAACAAGACTGTCCATGAGTTGATGATGGTTGAGGTTGAGAGATGAGTACGTAAGCGTATGATGGGGTACATTGTGCTAGTCTCTCTACTTTTGACTTCCCACAGTAAAATATTGTGTATATGTGTCTGTATATACACGCACTTACATACATGTATACATGTGGGGAGAAGGAGGAGGGGAGAGGAAAGGAGAGGGAGAACACACAGCATTCTTGGTCTAGGTCACTACTACCTCTTGCCTCCATTATTACAGATCATCCCGGCTGGTCTTCCCTCCTCCTCCCTTTCCCATTTACGGTCTAATTTCAACCCAGCAGCCAGAGTGATCCTGATAAAACATGTCAGCCCAGGTCACGCCTCCCTCCGCTCAGAACCCTCCAGTGACTTCCATCTCTCACAGAGTAAGAAGCCGAGTTCTTACCACGGCCTCCAGACTCAGGCAGCTCAGCGACTCTCTCCCTCTTCTTCCCTCTGCTCCAGCCACCCTGGCCTCCTGGCTCTTCCTTACACCAGCTATCCTGCACCTCAGGGCCTTTGCACTTCCTCTTCCCTTTCCTGCAAGGCTCTTGCCACAGATTTCTGCACAGTTCTCTCTCTCACCTCCTTCAAGTCTCTGCTTAAACGCTTTTTCTCACTGAGAGACCACCCAATTTAGAATACCCCCCAAACCCCCACTGCTAAATTTTTTCCTATATCATTTGTCATTCTCTGGCATACCATATATTTTACTAATTTAGTTTATTGTCTCTCTCCACCCATTAAAACGTCAGCTCCGTGAAGGCAGACGTGCCTCTATTTTGTTCATTTGCACTAACACAGGTACAGAATAGTGTGTGCGTGACGTGTGTGAGACAGTGAATGTGTATATGCGTGTTCTGAGTGTTTTACAGTTACTAGCTCGTTTAAACCTCCCCACATCCCAAGGAGGAAGCGACTCCAAGAATCCCCAGGGCAGCCTTAATTTGCCTGAGGGTATAGGGCTGGTGAAGAGCAGGCCAGGGTTATAGGCCTTCGGGCTCCGGCTCCAGCGGCTCAGTGTGTAACTACCAAGCCCTGTCTACGTCCTCTGAGGCAGAGATGGGAGTGACTTGTGAGTCCAACCCCTCACTTTCCAGGCCCTTACTTTCCTTGGAGAGGAAAGTTTGGCCCAGGGTGCAGAGGGAGTTAAGGACAGTAGGCAGGGCTCCTGGAAGGGAGCTCATGAGCCTCCTCGACCAGTCCAGCGCGCAGCTGGTGTCCAGCCGCCCTGGGCCGTGGAGAAGGGCTCTCTGCACCTGAATCTGGGCCACATCAAAACCATGGTCATCTTACCGTGGAGGGTCTAGGGAGCAAAGGAACTCCTAAGGGGCTTGGGGCTTTTTGAGGCAAGGTGGGGCCAGCCTCTCCTCTGGTCCCTTACTCTACCAGGCCCTCATCACCTTGTCCATCCCTCCCACCATCTTGCTCTCCCTCTCCCTCTCTCCCTGGGAGTTAGCCCGGCCCTGGGCAGTGGGAAGTCATGAATATTTCATCACCTTTCTCTTCATGAAAGCCGCCAGGCAGGCAGCTACCTCAGCAGGTCAGGGAGAAGGAAAACAGGAAGGGTGGGGGGTGGGGGAGCGGAGGCCAAAAAGCCCAAGGAACGGGGAGCTCGCCTCTGCCAGGCCAGGGGTCAGGCTGGGCCTGCGTGGGGATGGAGAGACTCAGAGTCTGAGGCCCAGAGACAGTTCGAGGCTGGGGGCGTCCCCGAGGCAAAGCCTGCATGCACAGGCCCCAGGGAGGCCAGGCCGGGAAGCAGTTCCGGCGGGCGGCGTTGGCATTGCCAGGGCCTGTGGCAGCCGCAGGGGAGAGAGAGGTGAGCGGGGGAAGTGGGAGGAGGAGAGGGCAAGGAAGGTAGAGATGAGAGGAAGGGGTGGAGAAACTGGAGGCCCTGTGGCATTCCACAGCTAGGAGCCCCTCCCAGCTGAGGGTCCTGAGGGCTGCATACGCACGTTCCTCCACCACGTTCCTCCACCGAACCCAGCTGGTAAACAGCCTTTCCACCCCAGTGCATGCTGGGAACTGTGCCCCGTCAGTGGTCTTCCTCTAATCCACACAATAGAAAGGCTGCAGGGGGTAAATGATGGGGTGGGGGGTGTCCATGCACCCCAGTGAGAACACGGGGGGTCGGTCTGGGGGTGTAGATGCTGAGTGTGTGTTATGCATTTTTGATTTCCCTGCACATCCATGCAGATGAGGTCCCTTATTTATGCAGCTCGGAGGTAACCTGTGTCACCTGCGCTGGGGAATACTGGTGTACATACAGCACAATGGCTGCCAGCAGGGAGTTAGGCAGTCTGGAGTTTTAGTCTCAGCTCTGCCACTAACTTGCGGTGTGATCTTTAAAGCAAGTCACTTCTGTGCTCCGTGTCCTAGGCTTAGGACAGGTGGGCACACTCCTTAGCCTTGTTGTGAGGGTTAAATGATACAGTGCATGTGAAATGGGGGTGCTAGCCTAGTACCTGGCATGAGACAAGCACTTGATAAATGGGGACCCTTATTATCATCGTTGTTGTAATTGGATATCTACTCAGATAATGGTGACAAAAAATCAGGCTGTAAGGCCAAAATACACACACACACACACACACACACACACACACACACACACACACACACACACACTTGAAGTTACCAGGATTCCTCTTCCCCAAGGCCCGATAGCTAGAGATAGAGCCAAACAGAACTTACCGAAAACCTCATCCGCAGGTTCTCGGAGCTTTGAGGAAGCCATGACTCAAGAGAGCTGGGAGGACAAGAGGAGAAAGAGGAAAAAAAAGACCACGGATAAGAGGTTCAGGTTGGTGCAGGCAAGGGAGCTGCCAATGGCTACCTGCTCCTAGCCTTCCGGCCCTCACCTCTCCTTACAACTCTCTCTCTGGCCCCTGAAAGAGAAATCATCTGAACCACAGCCCAGATTGTTGGGGCGGGCAGGAGGTAGAAGCAAGTCCAGGGTATCGACACAGGCTGTCCTGCAGCCCTGGTCCAAGCTGATTTGCTGAGTGCCTCCACACGGGTCACTGAACTTCTCTCCCCGTCACTGTCTTGGGCCCTTCCGTCATTAGCATTCCCTAAAAGCTTTTAATCATCGTAAGCTGTCCCATATCACATCTGGGATAAATCCTGGAGACTATTCAATCCAACCCTCTCATTTTACAGAGGGAGAGAGACGGGAGAATGACTGATCTAAGATCGCATAAGTTAATGGCAAGATCAAAATGAGAACCCAGGTTCTTCCATCCACCCACCTACTTACGTGCCTACTTATCCATGCATCTACTTGCCTATTCACCGTCCACTCATTCACCCATCCATCCACCATCCGCCCCGTCCAACCATCCACCCATGTTTACATCCGTCAATTTATACCATCCACCCATCCATCTTCCCATCCATCACCCAGTCCTGCCTCCCCCAACTCTCACCACCTGTCTTCCTGAACATGAGCTGTTCAGGAAGCTGGCATCATCAACAGGGCCACTGTTCTTGACAAAGTCACAGTTCTCACAGTTCAAGACAGACTCACAGATGCAGAAGGGTATAAAGAGTACCCATAGCAGAACAGTGTAGAGCTAAATCTCTATGATGCATCAGATATGTTCTGGGAAGAAATATGGATGGATAGGGGTTT